TTTTATGCGAATCGTTCATATTTTGGGTCCATTTACTGAAAATCGGACGAAACAATATATGGGAGCTATATATAAATCTCTACCGATTTTTCCCAATTTAAATAGGGTTCGTCCTTGGACCGAATAAATGAGCTGTGCTAAATTTCATCTAATTCGGATTATAAATGGGTTTACTTTGTTTACAATTTAACATGGACAGACAGACAGACAGGCGGACGGACATACATAAATTGTCAAAAGGAACCATGGGTTTATCTCGTTTCCTTTTGCGTGTTACAAGACGTTAACCCTGTACCACAGGGTTCTATTATGGTAGCTATTCATCTGCATATAGACAACTGTGTGAGAGGTATTATAACTATAAAAGAATATGAGAAGGGGTAAGAGGCCACACCTACCAATACAATATGGCTGAAGGTAATAAGTTAACATTTCCAATAATAGGGCATACACTTAATCCAGTGAAAAGGCCTCTTATGCGAGAAGTAATGTTAGAATCTCCTATCGCGAGATTTTGTCTCCGTAAGCTACTTGGAATACTGTTTCCTTCTGTCTTTTCTCTTTACATCCAATAGGTCTCTTATTTCATGAATAGTATCATTTTCCATAAATTGGCTTTTAAGGCTTTCATATGCTGGGAAATGTTTCAAAGTTTCGTTGTATTTTCAACATTCTCTGCATCTTCTGCCAGGTACCCTATTTCTTGTAAATGCGTCTGCACACTGAGATCTCCTGTGAGAGAACCTGTCACTCTGCTAACATCCGTTTATTAAGCGGAGAGGGGATAAAACAATGCAAATCATTCGAAATATTTTTTTGCCAATGACAAAAAAATTCCGGGAGAAATAACTATTCCAAACACATTTTGGATTTTTTTTATAATAAATTTTGAATTATAGTTAGGGATTTTCAGAAGAATTTCAATATTTTTGTAACCAAAGTGATTTATTTTAACCCCAAAATGCCAATAATTCTTCCGTTCTTCAGTCCAAAATTGAAACGGTATTTTTTCTGTGCATGGCTTTCTCTCTTCCATGTGGTGGATATTCAAATGATTTTCAAGCACACATTTCCCCTCTAAGAGGAAATGCTAGTCGCCCGTATTGTTTTTCACGTCAGTTCTTTGCTGGTTTTTTCCACTATAATTTATTTGAATTTTTTATCGGCCAATTCCGTTTTGTTTATATTTACAGTTTAGATGGGTGGTGAGGAGGGAAGTTTGATGGTTGGTAATGCACCGGTGAGCGAGAGCACACTTCTTTTTTTTTTGTTTTGGAATATTAATTCCACCGAATAGCCAAGCTAGTCGGGTTGGGTATTAATTCATTGGTTCCGAATAAGGCACTGTGTTTTGTGTTGCAACACACATGTGGTAAATTGTAATTATGTGCATTAAATTTGTTATGCTCTTATAATTGTATTGTTGTTGTTTTTGGTGTTTGTTGCTGCAATATCGTTCCATTCTACCACATCTAATAAGTCGAGCTAATGTTATTTATTGCAGTAATATTAATATGTAATTTAATAAAAACTATAAGCATTTTTGTTGTTGTAAACACAAAAATTATATTTAACAAGAAGAAAAGACGAGAAACGCAAGGTAATATCGACCATGGTGTTTAGGGGGGGTGTTTATCAGCAGCTCATAACCGCTTAACCACCCACCTCAACCATTGAAAGGCCGCAAGGTAGGTAGTGTTGTAATTTTGTGGAAATCTTTGAAGTTGGTGGAAGGTCAGCCAGAAGACTGACTAGTGGAAGTTTTTTCAATCTTGAGAAGATCTGGGTAAGATTTTTTAATATTTAGAAGGCCCTGAAGATTCGAGGAAGAATTTATATTGACAGAAAGGTAATGTAAGTCGTACATCTGTAGAAGACTATTAAATATCTTATATATAAGGCCTACTATATTCCGGAAACATGGTGATATCATCTGAAATTAGAAGAATCGTCTAACAAAATAAGAACCCTGAGATATTGAACATTTTCTCCGAAAAGATTCAAGGTTTCCAATCTATATACAACCTCGGAAGGTCTTCTTCCAATTGAAGGCCCATCAAAGGTGTTATATCTAAGTTGGTTGGACGGGAATAAGAGATATTAGAACGATCGAAAAGAAGACCGGCAAATGTATCTCTATAGAGAACACAAAGAATATTTTTTTTCTATAGAAGAGCTGTGCTACCTTACACAAGTTAACATTAGCTATACTACCCGGGAAAAGTTTTTTATACATATACAAGTCCCCAGGAAGCTATTTGTTCTACAGAAGATCTGGGGAATGTCTTCCGTTTGTTGAGAACCTTGAAAAATATATACACAACTTTGGAAAGGTGTTCTAAATATAGTAGAATATGAGAAGTGAAACGAAGCCTACACCTCTTAGCTATATAATACTTGTGGAGGGACTTCTAGCTGCAGAAGACACGGGACGGTGTTCTAAATATAGACGGTCCTTCTATAGATATTGTGACTGTAGGACCTATTAACTACGTCTGTAGAGAACCTTGAAAAATACATACACAACTTTGGAAAGGTGTTCTAAATATAGTAGAATATGGGAAGTGTTACGAAGCCTACACCTCTTACCTATATAATACTTGTGGAGGGACTTCTAGCTGCAGAAGACACGGGACGGTCCTTCTATAGATATTGTGACTGTAGGACCTATTAACTATATAGAGAACCTATAGATCCGGATCCGAGTTCTATGGAGGGCCCTTTTAATCCTTTGGAAGGCCATTTAATATACCAATAAGGCATTTGGAGGAGTTTCTACTATCATTGGCGGATCTTCTTAAGACCTCTACAAGGATCTCCAAAAACTTTGCGCTGCCTTCAAGACCTTTGTTGGAGTTTCTAAGACTTTTTATATAATTGAGACCTTTAATCGTTAGAATATTTTTCTAAGACTTTGGGAAGGTATCTTATGTCCTTGGAATGGTCCATTAAGACCTTTATATTGCCATCTAGGGATTTTGGCTGGTTTTTGAAAACTTTTGAAGACCTTTGACCTTTGGTGGAGTTTCTAAGACTTTTTTTATATAATTGGGACCTTTAATCGTTATAACATCTTTCTAAGACTTTGGGAAGGTATCTTATGTCCTTGGAATGGTCCCTAAAGACATTTAGATTGCCTTCTAGGGATTTTGGCTGGTTTTTGAAAACTTTTGAAAGATTTTCTAAAACTTTTGGAAGGTCTTTTAGGGGCTTTGGAAGGTACTTGAAGTACTTTTGAAGAACTTTTAAGAAATTAGGAATTCCTTCTCAGACAATTGAAGGGTTTTTAACCCAATTAAATTATTCGGAAGGTGTTCAAATACTTTTGGAATTTTTTTTACGATCTTTGGAAGATGGTTAAGACATTGGAATGATCTTCTATGTACCCTTTATAAGGTATTTCAAAGTCTTTACATGTCTTTGGCTGGGTTTTTTTGACCTTTACAAACTCATCCTAACCTTTTGAAAGTTTTAAAGGCTTTGAAAAAGTTTCGAAGACCATTGGTAGGTAATTCAATCCCATTTAAGATCTTCTAAAACGTTTGGAATGATTTCCAACACATTTGGCGGGCCTTCAAAAACCTTTAGGAGTTTTCTAAGGACTTTGGGGAGCCTACTAAAGCCTTTGGATCTAAGAGCTTTGAATCCAAAGCCTTTTAATACCTTTGAAGATTTTTAAGACATTTCGAAGTTCTTCTTAGACATTTGAAAACCTTATTAACTTTTTGAAGATGTTCAAAGATATTGAGAAGCCTTTCCAAGACCTTTAGAATATATTTTAGGATCATTGGAAGGATTTGTATTAACTTTGACGTTCTTTTACGATATTTTCTAATTTGGATTTTGGAAGGTCTTGAAAATCTTTGGAAGATATTTAAATGTCTTCTAATACTTTTTACGTTTATTTATGACGTCTTATTCGAATATCTTCTAAACCCTTTGGATGGATTTCTCAGACCTTTAAAATTCTTTTAAAAATTCTGGAAGGTTTTCTCAAATCTTTGGAAGTTCTTTTCAGATGTTTGCAAGGGCTTATAAGATCATTATTATTTTTAAATCCCGGAAAGTTAGTCTAAGTAGTTTGGAATGTTTTCGAATATCTTTGGAAGTCCTCAGACTTTTTTTATTTTTTAGCAACCCTTGGAAGATCTTATTACCTAAAAAATTTAGCCTTCATAGGTCTATGACTTTGCCCGTCCACCAATTTCGTTTGTTATCCAAGGTTCGTCTCTGCCGAACTTGAACTTTTTCCTAAAATGTTTACTTCAGATTAATTTTTACACTCATGATTCGATTTGTTGCTTCTATATCTCCAAAAAAATCCCCTATGTGGTTTTGTTACACAGCTGATAAGGCAACTCTGTATTCTGGATGTAAACAAAGATTTGTTCATTCTCGCATATGGCTGTTGTAGATTTTTTTGCATTCGCTGCTCCATAACACCGCAAACGCTCATTCGCTCTGTCAGTCAGTTCCAGATGCCCGTCATAGTAAAACAGCGGAATATAAGAATTGTGATAAAAGAGAAATGAAACATAAATTGCTGCAACAGGGCATTGGTTCAATGTTTACGTAAAGAAATAATGAATGAACAGTGGCAGGGTATAGGTCCTGACCGGCTGGCTGCCATTCAAAATAAACAACAAACTTGGGAGTTCCTTCTACTCCTACCAGTAACAAAAAGGAAATTACGGAGGGAACTTTGGTGTAAAAAAAAAAAAAAACAAATAAAATGTCAAAAACGTATGACGGCGACTAGACAACGACGACGAATATGGCTGTTGGCTAATATCTATCAGCTGTGAATTTTCGCCACTACAACCCACACTCACACTCCCATCCACGCAAGCCAGTCATAATAAATAATAAAATTTGCCGGCCAGGATTTACGCCTAATCACGAAAAATTAAATTCAATAAAAATAAATTATTAAACTATTTAGTTAAAGAATCCAAAAAAAAATTAATTTAAAAAAAAATTATGCACATTTTTGCTTTTAGAATGTCCAAAAATGACAAAAATAAATCGGGCGGCGGCCTCTTGGAAAGTTGGTTTGGCCGCCCAAAAGCCAAAGGCAATAACTACAGTACGGGCACATTATCGGGACGACCCACATCGGCAGATGGTGATGCTGCCTTCGATATACAAGAGTTGGAAAAGACAGTACGGGCACTAAGCGACTCCGAAGTGGATGCAAAATTTATGGAAATTTTAGAAGATATGAACATACCCAAGGACAAACGGGGTCCGCTTTTGGCGAAATCGTTAACCGAGCGACAGAAAATGATTTTTATGCATTTGAAAGGTAAGTTTCGAAGTTTTAGTTTTCCGCTTATTTTTTATTTTTATTTTTATCATATCTCTTGCATATAACGTTGATGTGATGTTCCAACATTCCATAGATAAGATTATATGAATTCTATTTATATTTCGTCACTTCGTTGCTGAAAATAATTATTCTCCGGTTTCATTTACGTTTAGGCGCTTAAAGAAGTAAATTAAAATGGAAGTGCATGATTCATTATTCGTTCATTTATGGAAATACCATTACAGTGGAGATTTGTTTAACCATAAAGGTCATGAATGTTTGTATTTACAATTATGTGTAGCGTTTTTAAATTACAACCAGATTGGGTGTGTAAGACCACGTGATCATCTACATTAATAGGCGATGAACAGGAATTCTGCTCATAACATAACAATATTTTTGGAGAATTTTTAAATTTAAGCGGCTTTAACAAAAAAAAAAAAAAAATAATAATAATAATAATAAGATAAATAAAGAAAATAAAACAAGCTAAAAACACAGTCCGCGAAAAGAATTAAAATTTCATAAAGTATCTGGTCCGTTATTATAAACTTCATAAGGATCTACACCCAGTGGAAAAAAGTATACGATAATAATACATCAATGATTTTTGGTATATATGTAGGGAAAAATGTTCTGATTCGGAATCCGTTGGCGATCAAACTATTGGTTGATACATATAATAATATGTAGATAGTATAATAACCGTGAAAAAGTTGCACATTTTCGCGAAACATGCGAAAAATAATAAAAATATAGGAGAGAAATATAGGGAAAAATAAATCCATTAGTTCTTCGGCAGATGGCTGTACTGATAGATTTCTCGTAAAGCGTCGATCAAACAGTTTCAGATTTATGCTCGTTGGAAGGGTGATATTTCGCAGTAAAAAATTATTTTGCTTTTTTTATTTGGTGCATTCAATTGTGAGTTATTCAGGAAGTGAACAAAAAGAAAATTCGGTACATTTTACAGTTTTTCTTTGACAAAAAAAAAAAAAAAAGAATGCAAGCCAAGCGCTAAAATGGTGAATGGTGTTTATTGTTCCGATACTGTAACAGCCTATTATGTGCAATTTTGGTTTCGTATATTCCGTTCAGGAATTTTTGGTTGTTGAAAATGTCGATAAAATCGGATAAATGATCGAAGTTGACTAGAATGTTGGCAGTCGTAACATCGCCCAGGAGCTAAAAATCGACATAAAACTGTTTTAAACCATTTACAATTCACCAGAAAATATAGTCCGGACTTGGCACCAAGCGATTATCATATTGTTCTTCCATTGCAAAATTTCTTTAATGATAAAAAAATTGGTATTTAGAGAGAATTGTGAAAATCGACTACTAGAGTTTTTTTTGCAAATAGAGAGCAGGATTTCTATGAGAGGGGTATTATGAAGTTACATTTAAAATGGCAACAAATCACACAACAAAACGGTGCATATTTGGCCCAAATCGGAAATTCCGAATCATGTTAAATAAATTCCTATTGTTCATATAAAAATATTGTTGTTAATGTTTTTTTTTTTCATCTATATATAGCTATTTCAACACTGTCCATCAAGAACCATGGATTTAGTAATTCACATTATTTTTGTGATAAATTGGGTACATCTCTCTTTTTGTTGAAGTTTTTAAAGTTCTATTTTCGCAAAAGTTCAAAATCCGTATTAGGTCTTTTATTGAAACTAAAATGATTCACAGAAAAAGTTTTAAATCCGCGATATTTTCAAAAACACTATTTTGCCAAATTTCGTGTTTTGGCAGACCAGTTCCCGCCGTTCTAGTAAATGGAAGAAGATTTGATTTTATCCGGAACGTAAAAAATCTTATCGCGGGTACCCAATGATATACAAATTTTGCCGGAAAAATAAGTTTTTTTAGAATAGCACAAAATTTTCACTTTTGGATGAATGTTACTGTGAAGCTGTGTATTACATACGAGAAAAGTTTATCAAATTACTCAGATTCCCTAGTACAACAATCCTGTAATTGATTTTTGGAAATTCCAGATTGCGCCTGAAACTAGAAGGTAATTTCAAATCGAAGGTAAAATCAAAATCGAGCTTAAAAATGCCAGCATCGTTTAAAGGTAGATGCAGATAAATTTTCGAAAAGCGATATATAAGGGACGTTGTACTCATTGTGTATGCTTCTACTTTTAATTTAAGACGAATGCCGTGAAATGAATGGCTTAGTCACAAATCGAGAAAAAAACATAAAAACCTGGGTTGCTACACCCTGTTTTTCACATTTTTTACGTTTGTTCCCACGCCTACCACACCCACCCCTGCCGACCGATTCGCAAGGAGCACGTACACCCCAAAGACCGAACTAAGATGAATGATTCAAAATACGTTCTTTTCGTTTTGGATTCATTTTACGAATGAATTTATCACGATAAATTCTTTACCAAATGATTGTTCGCACACACATAACAAATGAGTGAGAACACACAACAACGATCCTTCGTTTCTTTTATCGGTTGAAATTCTTTGTGACATTCGCTCACGAATGAAAACAAACAGTCGCGAATGCTCGCGAATTTTCAAAACAGCAACAAGGATAACAACAAACGTTCGCGAATTCAATAGTTGTTGGGCATGTGTTTTGTTATTCCACACATGCTCAACCCTTTCTGCTACACACACATTCATTCGCTGGGTGTGTTTACTTTTTTATGATATTTTTGTTAGTTGCGGTTTTGAACAGCGCCCGCTAGCATTACCAACTTTTGCATCCCTGTGCTCAACCCTTTCTGCTACACACACATTCATTCGCTGGGTGTGTTTACTTGTTTATGATATTTTTGTTAGTGCGGTTTTGAACAGCGCCCGCTAGCATTCGCGAACATTTGTTTTTTTTTCTTTTTCAAAAGAATGCTCTTCAGCAACAAAGGCTCGCGAAAGAACAAATCGAAGACGATTGCAGCGAAATTTTATCATTCGTGAATTTTTCGTACAATGCGAACATTCGCGAGAGATTGCAAATGCCAGTTCATTCATTGTAACTTTATTATTCGTGATAAATTGAAATCATTCGAATTCTCGCCGTGAGCATTAGTGAGAAAGGACGTATTTTAATCATTCTCCGCACCCTGGTCATGGCTCATCATTTTTATTCTAAAATATGTAATTATGTATTATTTTACGCAAAATTAAAATGATCGGTTTTATTTTAAAATCATACTTTTGTGGTTATTGAATGGAACTCAATAAACTTGCCACATTATTCGTTATCAAATCTATGAAAAAAGTGAATTTTTAATGAATAGAAAATATATTTTAATTTTTCAAGATTTTCAATGGGCTGGTAAATGAATACAAATGCTTGTTAAGGTTTGCAACTTTGCACATATATATTTGAAGATTTAAAAGAGAAGAAAAATAATTTACAAAAAATTTTTGTTATTGTTTTGTTGTTGTTTTTTGTAATTAAAGAGAAGTCCTTATTTTTGATGGCGGGCATGATAACTCCTCACTGGAACATCGGAATCCGAAAATTACAACGGTGTTAGAATTATATCAACAAAAATTTTGACCCCGAGAATAGGGGGGGTCCCCTTAAAAGACAATTTCATCCATAGAAGAATATTTAGAAAGTAGAATTTCTAATATTATCTTACGAAAATTAAACCCATCTCCATTTCGTTCATAACTCACGCTGTTTTATCTTTTACTCGATAAACCGTTAGCTATTTTTTATTTTGTCAATTGGCATTGAAATTTATTTTAAAAAGTTGTTTATTTATATTTAAAAAAAAATGAATGTGTGTGGTTAAAGCAAACAAAATTTTTGATAAGAATATCACATCCAGAGTTTGTTCGAGTAGAAGAGCAGTGGCGGAGGTGGTGTTGTTCGTGCAATAAACACATGTGGGATTTTAAAAACCTCTGTCTGTCCACTCAAATCATGTGCTATGCTGTCGTTGCTACTACTTCATAGAACAAACACTTAACATAAATATGATTTTCGAAATTGTATATCTAAAAAAACGGCCATGACTTAGGTGTTAGGTATGTGGTGTCAAACAAATTTTGTGTTTATTTATTTTTTAACTTGAATTTTATGTGCATATAAATTATGTATGTATGCCGCGGGGAAATGTTATATTGTCTAGAGGTCATTTGTCGCAAAAAATTTTTGTTTTTTTTTGTCTTTTAAATAATCGTATGGTCTATGCTAAGTATTTCAATTAATTTGTATAGCACAATTATTTAGCTCAAGTTTTTATATAAGTATGGATAAAAAATCAATCGTAAAACACAGTTGAACGTTTTTCTAGAAAGCGCTGATTTGTGAAGTCCATGATGATGGACCTTTCGGCCACTGTGAGTCTCAAAGGACCTTTGATATACTATTAGAAAAATTGTTTCGATTTTTCGTTTTCTCCCTTCGATTTTAGGTATTTTAAATTTTCGCCGCACCCTTTTCCATTTTTTAAGTTTACATATTACATATTTCCTGTCTAGACAATTTGTTTGTTTCTGGTTACCTGTCGGAAGTCATGATCATTCCGACTTATGCAAAAGTTTCATTAAGTTTCGTTAAAATTCTTAAAAATAGAAAAAAGTGAATTCCAATTGTCAATAAAAAAATATTTTTTGTGGAAATGGTCTGTCAATCAAACTAAGAAACATATTCATATGTACAATGACGAAACTGGCACAACGATTCCAATGGTAGGAAATTTGTTCAAACACTATTCACCAGTACAAATGCTTGGACGGTCTATTGAGGTCAATGCACCAGGAAATGTCGAACGCAAAGTAAATTGCGTTGTATGGAGCCCTGGAGTTCCTTACTATAACAAATTCATGCTTAGAACTCAGCTGGTCCTAATTTTTTTTTTATAAAATTCTTGCAAATGCATGCAAATTCATAATAATGAAGAAATCTTGGGAATATATGTTTTAGTGACTGTACCAAATCCGTTTCAGCCAATTTTTAGACTTTTTTTTAAATGTCAGTCCGTCCGTCTTACTGCTGCACACGATAAC